GTTGACCGTGAGAAAAGCAAGAAGTCTCTAGGTTAATATCAGCAACCTTGAGTGATTGTCCTCGAGCTTTCTTGATGGACATCGCAAAGGCAAGACACACTGGAAACTGCAGACGCTTGAATTCAAAGGGCGTGTCAGTAGGAATGATGGGTATTCGTGGTATGAATACACCCTCACCCTTTTGCGCAGCCTGTCACGATTGTTGCTTCAATAACATGAGGCAGCAGACTTTTCACACATAGTCTTGTGCCATTGCCTAGTCTTGGTGCATCCAGGTTTCTCAAGAGCATTCCGAAAGTGTCATCGGATAGTGTGATGTGAAAATTCTAATGACGATATATGACGCATCAGAAAGAATGTGATACATCTAGGGCTATGACAGTTACTAGTTACTGTTACCACCGTTACTCGGTAACTGTAACGGCTGAACAGTTGATGTTCTTGATAAAGGTAACGGGTAAGGAGTTAACGTACAAGTAACGATAACGATGAGTTAGAAGTAACGGTAACTGTTCAGTATATCTTTCAAGAGTCAAATCTCTAAATATCTAGGTATCCAGGGTGAGGGTGAAAGTTCGTCTACTTGCCTAGTCAAAATTACTCACTGTGAGTTGTAAAGTCGTAGACAGAATATATAAATAAAGTCGGACAGCCGTATGGTGCGCATGTATCTATAAAGTAGCACAGAATACAGCAAGGAAACATGCAGAGAGCTATGCTTCGGGACTGCTTCAAAATATATTTCGGTCGATCGGTCGCTGTTCCGTTTACTCCTGTATTCCACTGTTATATAACATTTCATTTATAATAATTTTTATATAGCTGTATGTATACATTCTTTTCTAATTGATTTGATTACCTCTTCAACTGTTAACTGCTATGTTTCAAAAGACTATTCTTTTATCAACCTATCAAAAACACATACTTTTCTATTACAGTTTATCCTACTCTGATACTATTTAGACATAGATAAATTCTTATGTTTAAAGAATAAATTAAGAAAAGAACAAATTTTATATTTTCATCAAATGTGTTTTCATCTTATATATTCAAGAGAAGAGTGCTCACTGTAAATTTATTTTATATTGCGCCAACTTCGCGAACTAAAATTACATTAATTAGAGAAGTACCATTTGCATTTCTTCTACTAATTTAAAGTATATGACTTGTACACGATACTAATCTATTTTTTAGAAAAGGATTCTTTTAGTTGAGATATATGGCTGAGAGTCTCGCTGATTATCGTTTAAAACAGGAAGTTTTTGCAATGAAAAGACAAAGGAGAGTAATGTTTCGAAATATAATTTAGCAGAAACACAACAGTTATTTAGCCTACATAGAGGTTTAAGTTCAGCGTTATTCAAGTTTACCAGCTTGTAAAGTAGTATAATAAAATCAGTTATTAATGTGTAAACACCTGATGCTCTATTGTATAACACTAACACGAAGTTGTTACTCACATATACATGAAGGTCGCTTACTCAACCTTTGGAGGGAAATAAGAGAGATACACAAGGAGTAAAGTAAATAATAAGATATCCTATATTATAGAGTAAAAGTAAATAATAAGATATCTTTCTTTTACAAATTTTATTTCTTGTTCTCTGCACAACAAAAAGTGCATATGCTGTGACTGCGGTGTAAATTAAATGTGTAAATATAATATATTACATCAAGGCAAATGTCGACATCTCATTCTGTTTATTTGTTATGCAGTTTCTTGCAAGATTCTTATTTCTTATCATTTCAGCCAAGGTTCTTGAAAATTTTCTTGTAACTTCGGCTAAGGTTCTTATTTAAATTTTTACTTCAGTTTTTATCGTTTTTTGGTTATGATTTTTGCCTGAATTGACAACGCTGGTCAGCAATGGAATCACTTATTTGTTTTATAAGCTTTTATGTTATATATGAAGAGAAGCAAATTAATTAAAAAAAAATTTAATTATATCTCGAAACATTACTCTCCTTTGTCTTTTCATTGCAAAAACTTCCTGTTTTAAACGATAATCAGCGAGACTCTCAGCCGTATATCTCAAATACTAAAAGAGAGCCTTTTCTAAAAAACAGATCAGTGTACAAGGGGTGAGAGTGAGGGAACGAGACACCTTTTCGATTTTGTGTCTTAGTTTTAATATTTCTCAGTCATTTTTGGTTGAAAAAACTTGCTGTTGAACATGTTGGTAGAGCGAACATTTTTCTACATGTTGATGTGAAAATCTTCGAGAAATCTCTGACTGATTTTCAACTAGATCCAAAATGTGAAGAGACCTGTGAAAGTGTCTTTGTCTGGAGGCATGTTTACATGCTCTATCATAAACCTATTCCTTTAGAATAACACAGAACGACGGAGAGGTTTTATAAAAGCCTGGCGTAACAAGATTAGGTTGATTTCAACCTCCACATGGCAAGCCAATCCTTTTCTTCTCGTTCTCCACTCTATTATGACAACAATATGCCTATTTACACGGAAGATGACAGTGTTGCACGAAGAACCTATTTAATGGATGATGTTGTTCGGCCCAGCGAAATAATCGGCGAACATTATGATGGAGTATGTTACATGGATAAACTGAAGGCAAAATCGACGCGAAATCGAGATAAAGCTCGAGCAATTGTTGATCCTTTTACAAAAGAGAACGCAGAAGATTTCACGGTGATCTGGCTCGACGATACATTAGACACAGATGAACGTGATGTGCGTGGTCTTAATGCTCTCCGCGAAGTGGCCTATTTTCTTCGTACTTTTACCAATCCAGACTCCTGTCAAGCTTATGTCGAAAGCATACCCAAAGAAACGGTATTTTTGATTACTTCTGGATCATTGGGTCGAACATTTGTACCTCTCGTCCACGACTTACCACAGATTCGAGCTATATATGTATTATGCCATCGCATCAGCGTGCATATACAATGGGCCTCCGAGTTTGCTAAAATACGTTCGGGAAACATTTTTAACCGCGTACAATCGCTTGTAGAACGACTGAAAATCGATTTATACAAGTGCCGATATTCTACGGGTATTACGTACAAAATTGAGAGATCGGTTATCGATGTTCACGACAAAAAAGCAGACTTCAAATGGTCGTGTCTATTAGTGCAAACACTCATCCGGTCATTGCGTGATGAGAGAGCGCATCGTGACATGATAACATATTTACGCGAATACTACAAAAACAGGTAATGTTGTTTCGAGCTCATTGGTCTGAGAAGAAAAGTAACAGGTCTTTAGCCAGCATGTAGCATAAGTTACTTTTTTTTTCCTTCAGTTACATAATAATATGACAGTTTTCCATT